GAAGTGGCGCTGTAGCTCAAGTGGTAGAGCGCTCGCCTTGAGCTGAAGAGCTGAGGGACAGCGCCCAAGCCTAGAGTTCAAGCCCCACGACCAACAACAACAACAAAAAAAACCACCATCAATCTAGACTGTCTCTATGAAGATAGAAATGTGTTAACAAGGGATTTCCTAAGGTATTAAAAAGACATAAGTATTAAATATGTAGGAAAAGTTCTTCCTGTTTTATAAAGTTTATCCAGTCACTGCATTCTTCCTATTCATGATTTAATATAACCATTGATATATTCTGAGGAATTGTGTAGACATGACTAATATCATAGTCATCATTTATATTTATTTCAGTTTATGTTTTCCGGGTTTAATTTAAGATCATTGCCTTTTATCTAAACTTATTTATTAGATTAATTAGATTTATTGGGGAAAAATTCCCTTTGGTGGGGTTTTCCTGTTGAGATGATTATATTTCTATGCCTGTAGAAGTCCTGAGTGCTGTCAGGAGGGCTTAAGGTCAGAAGTCTTGTAGGAAGAGAAAAGTAGCAGCTACATTTGGTAGCACCATCTGTGAGATTTGAGAAACATCCATGTTCACAGCAGGGATTTATGTGGTGTGGGTTACAAGACGCTTCCTTGACTCTGAGGTTTTGTGGTAGTAAGCGGGGTTGGGGCAGGGTGTGGGGAGGAGGCTGTATTAGGATGACAGAGATGAAAGAGTGAGTGGAAAATACAGTCAAAGGGGCCACCCAGAAGACTGGAATTCACCATCTACAGAACTGCTATGGCTGGATAAGGTTAGTGACAATATGAAAGAAAAAAGAGCATGTTGGCCATAGCAAACCCTGAGAATTTGGGCAGCCACTTTCAGTGGGCCAAGGAAGGTAAATTCACTGTAGCCAACTTACTATGACCTCTTTATGGCTTATCCATATTCCTTCATGAAAGGCGTGGCTGAGGAACAAAGGCTAGACCAAAAATAATTTCATTTGCTTTTCTTCTTATTCCTGCTTTTTTTCTTTTCGGGGTACTGGAATTGAAACTTAGGGTATTATGCTCGCTAGGCAGATGTTCTACCACTTGATCATATCCTATCCATTTTTTACATCAAGTCTTAAGCTTTTTGCCCAAGTTGCCCTTGGACCATGATCTTCCTGCTTCTACCTCTGTGCACCTGGGATTATAGGCAGGAACCACTGTCTCTGGGCCATATTACTGAATTTTCTACTCAATCCTGAAAACATTCAACTAGCTACACAGAAAGTGAGCAAAAGTCAGTTTAAGACTTTGTTCAGTCTTCTTCCTTTGTCTTTCAAAACAATGTCACCTCAGGTAAATTGAAATAGGGAATTCTTTTCACCACCAAATGGCAATATAAAACCAGCTATGTTCTAGTCTGACAAAGAAGGTTACTGAGAAGAAAATTTGGAAGAAAATTGGAAGAAAATTTGAGGGACTTCAAGGAGCTAGCCTATAGGGTAGGATGGGAAGGAAGAAGTATAATAGTTATACAAGAAAGTAAATACATATTTCTCTGTAGCTCCTCAAAAGTCCCCTCTCAGTCCTGTGTTGGGGGTGAGGGGTATGCCTTCTGATCTTGTTTCTTGAGTAAGAAGGAAGAATGGGTAGTGTGGTACTTCCTTCTTTGTCCCTAAATCTCATATACAGTATCAGCACTGGTTATGTAGACATCCCAGTGTATGCTGGCCACCAGCACAGAGTGAGCAATGCAAGGCACTGGTGCTGCTGGGCCCTGTTCTGATCCAACTTTCTCTTCTTGCAGGTGCACACATCTTGACCGACACTACAGCAAGCTGGATTTTCTTTGCATTTAAAGAAAAAAAAAATGTGCCTGTGTCTGTAGAGATGATTTGCAGTTCAGCCCGGCTGAAGCTGACCGAATGAGACTATGGGCTGTGCCTCCGCTAAGCATGTTGCTACTGTTCAAAATGAAGAGGAAGCCCAGAAAGGGAAGAATTACCAGAACGGAGATGTGTTTGGAGGTGAGATCTGGCACTCTGTGCCCTGGACTAACAGGGCCAAGGCCTTTCACTTTTGTGGCAATGAATTGTAGTGATTGGTAGCATATCCTGATAGGGTGTATGGGTGATGAGACCTGATGGAAATCAGGCAGACCCTTTTATGTTGGATAGTCAACATCAAACTTTGTGCAGAGAGACTTGAGGGAAGCTCATGGAAATGTTCTACAGCAATCAGCCTGTTCATCAAGCTTTAAAAATCAATTTGTTTTTAAATAGGTACATAAGACAGTCGCTACAAGTGGCCTGGTTGGGAACACTAAGACTCTACCAAAGTAGAGTGAACAGGGCTTATTCATGACAGAGTGAGACCTGTTTAAGGATGGATAGAGTAAACTGTGTATTTTCACATTCAAAGACTCAAATCTAATGATGATTCTAAATGACTCTAAACTCTCTAGTATGAAGTTTACAAACTGTCAGTGTATCAGGTTCTGTCAATCTTTGCTTTCACACCATCACCAAAGAATTTTTAAATAAAAATCAAGGCCAGGCAAGTGTAGCTCATATTTGTAATCCTAGCTAATGAGTAGACTGAGCCCTGGGAGACTGGTTTGAAGCTAGACCAAGCAGAAAGTTCTGTGAGACTCCATCTCCAAAATAACCAGAGTCAAGACCTGGCTCAAGTGGTAGATAAGCAGACTTGAATGAAAAAACTGAGCATTAGTGTGAAGTCCTGAGTTTAAGCCCTAGAACAACACACACACACACACACACACACACACACACACACACACACACACACACATACAAATGAACAGACAGACAAAACACCAACAACTAAGGCAGCCTTTGAAAATACGAATGTCTCAACTTAAAAGTTGAGAAAAGAAGTTCTGGCTACCCTGGCTCTTCAGTCTTCAGGTAATAATAAGCCAATGGCTTCTAGGGAACTGTTGGCCTTACCCTGTAGATGCTACTAATCCCAGAGCCCTGTTTGGCACTGCCCACCTGACCACTTACCAGTTTTTGAGTTTGTCCCTTGGAAGATCAAGTCTGCTCTGATGAAGCAGGCATATGTGAACACAGTTCCAGTTAGTCTAAGCGGCGAAGGATTCCGATTTTGCTGAACAGTTTCAACCATTCTGACTCCTCCTTGACACTGGGTAGCCCTCTCATTTATGAGAACTGCCTCTTCAGCTTTTACTGACTAGGAAACACCATTGAGGTAATGTTTCCTTGAGTTGTACCATTCAGTCACTATAATGGTTGTTCTGGTCATTTGGGGCAGACTGGGAATGCTGAGTTAGAATCTGTGTTGTGTTAAAATGTGCTAGGGTGCAGGGAAAGGAAGATTTGGGTTTGTTTTAAAGAGATACAATTGTTTCTGAGAATAAATTGGCCTTTCACGGTGACTACCTATAGAATTTAGACCTGCGGAGAAAAATAATGGATAGATGAGCATCTCAATGAAACTTGATCTAGAACATTGAAATCATGGTGTCTGGGAAAAGGGCTAATTGAAACCAGAGTCATTACTGTCACCATTAAATACTTACCTCTTAAGACAAAATAACAGACTAGTTCTGTGTCATGTTCCATCATTATTATTTTTACAATAGAGCTGCCATGTATGAACTGCTGCCATAAGTTGGAGACCGTGAAGCATTTACATTCGTTTTCATGTTGAATACTCACAACAGTCCTGTTAAATATGTGCCATCCCAATTTTGCATCTCTAAGGGCTGCAGCACTGACAGACTATCTGGTACAGGGTTGCCTGGCTACCAGTTAACAGCATCAGCATCTCTCAGACTTGATTCTGCCTCTCTTTCTCCATGTCATTTCCTGGTGCCTGGCTGTCTCCTCTGGGTCACTCATCTTTTAATGTTATACTGTGTGTAAGGCCTTTTTCTAAATGCCATGGAGATTACAGAAGCAAATAATCCACAAATCTTGCTTTCTAGGACTCCAGGAGAGGATAAGGAAGTGATTCAACACAGAACAAGCCAAATACCAGAAAAGGAAAAGAAATCCATTGTGATAAAAATCAGAGGGATAACATGGGGAACTTAGCATGCAGAATCAGAGCTGATTTCTTACAGAGGTTGCATCTGAACCTGGCCTTCCAGGGCTGGAAGAATCTAAACCTGTTGGATGAAAAAGCTAAGTAAGGAAAGAGTAGGAGCAATGTGAAACTTACTCAAGAATTATGAGTAATTGAGTTTAAGCTAGAGAAAGCTAAGTGTTGAACTATAGAAAACTAAGTTACACTATTTAGAAAGATCATCTTAAGGACAAGATTGGGTGATACTTTAATAGAGTATACTATACTTACATTCTGCTTAGCAGTGAGGTCACCTAACCATTTTATGATTTAGTTATAATTTGGAGAGCCAGGATGAGTCTGTTGTTCTTTTTTTTAACCAATCATATTCTTTTTTTATTGTGAAAATACTGTACAGAGGGGTTACAATTACATGGGCAGGATAATGAGTACATTTCTTATCAAGCATTGTAGGCTCCTCCTTTGTTTCCCCTTCCCATCCCTTCCCATCCTCTGTTGTTCTAATGGACCAAACATACCTTACAAATGTTAACGTCTGAAGACTAGCCTTTTACTAGTGAACTGTGGCTCGTATTACACATCTCTCAATTTCAGCCATGTTCGAGAGTGAGCAGCATCTCTTTCTTGAGCCCAAGTTGGTGATCACATGGGGTGACATTGTTCCACTTAAGGCTCAGTTTCCTGGTTGTCAGAGTCATAAGCCAGTAGGGGCTACACTGCCCTTCCACAGAAGGTCAAGAGTGTGAGTCACACGCAGGATGCCTTTGAAGCATGGATTTTAAGCTGTCGCACTGTCACTTGCATCTTCATTTTACTAGCCAAAGCAGGTGGTGACATGAAGAAACCTGAAGTGAAGAAGCAGAAAGTTCACTCTGATAATGATGTACATCCAGAGTTGAGAATTGGAATTAATCAGCCTACTCCAAGACTGTCATGTCTCTTTTGTCTTGGTGGTCCCATGTATTCCATACCCATAAAGTGTAATTAAGGAAAGCCTCTACCAAATTGTTTTCATCCTTCCAACACTCACTGAAGTTGTATTTGCTCCAGCATTCATGATCTTGTTAGTTCATCTAACATAAACATTTGCAGGTTCATGGGATGATGTTAAGTAACATCATCAGAGTGAACAGAACTTTATCAAGTAGAAACATTTTCTAGCTCTGTCAGAGCTCTGGAAATAAGATGGACAAAATCTAAGATCAAGATAAGTGACAGCACTCCAGATATTTCTGGATGCTAGAGTTTAAATATGAAAAAGGAAAGTCCTATCTAGGATACTATACTTATATTAGTTTGCAAGAAGTTTACAGAATCCCAAGATGATCACAGATGGAGGCAGGTGACTAGTATCTCTGGCTCATTTTAACCATTTGATATTGTTGTCACCCATTGGTCCAGTGATCTGTTATTGAACAATAAATTACTTCGCACTCAGTAGCTTGTAACTGCACTAATTCGTTATTTCTCATGATTCCATGGGATGGCTGGAGTCCATTTGCTATTCTCCCCTGGACTCAGTCACAAAACGAATTTCAGCTGGACAACCTGCCTTTGATTTCCCAAGACCATTTTTCCGAGCCAGGTAGCCATCCTTTCACATGGTGTCTGCCATCCATGGGAGGAAGTAGAAATGTTACTTTTGTTTCATTGAGTTGATCAAAGCAAGTAACAAGACCAGTCAGGGAGTCAGAGACTCTCCATCTCTGAGTGTCTGTTTGGAGGGAAGAATTCATTGGCAGCTATCTTTGGAGATTGGTACCATACCCATTGGAGAGGCAATTTACAATTCCATGACTGCACATTCTTTTTCACTGAACAGAATGGCCTCATTCGCTTTTTAAAAGTTAAATGTTTTAAAAATATTTTGAAAATGTTATTTCAACATATTGGAGATTTGCAGAATCTGTGAAGGGCAGCATATTTGGGGATAGCTCTGAGTGTGAATACATGCTCATATTTGATTCTTTTCCCAAAGGTGTTAATTTCATAGTGTCTGAAGACATGCTGGGAAGCTATAATATTGATGTCTTTACACAAATGGTAATTTTTGCTTTTGTGATGCAACTTGGTCTCCATAATGTTGGGGTTATTTAGAAGACCTAGCACTACAAATGCACGTGATAGAATTTCTGTAGAACTCCACCATCCAGAATCAAATGTCAGATGGGCATCCAGACTCCTAGATTTCAAAGAAATCAGGAAATCATCAATGAGGAATTTTATCACTATTATTTACCTGCACATTTCCTTTTACTGAATGCTGAAGTGCCAGATCAAAATCCACTTTACCTGGTGTGGCCTTTTCAGAAGTCAAATTCTGCTAGAAAGGCACATTTCTGTATTGGAATTTCTTTCTCTCAGTGGTCAGGGGAGATGTAAATAATAGTGAGATAGTCATTCAGAGGACAGCTGGGCACATTGCCAAAACAAGTTTGCAAAAGATAACCAAACAATGCTTGATAGGAAATGTACTCATTACCTTGCTCATGTAACTGTAACCCCTTTGTACAGTATTCTTACAATAAAAATGTACAAAAATAAATAAATAAATAGATAGATAGATAACCAGCAAATTCAAATGATCATTAACTAATTAAGCAAGTTGTAAGGAAAGCCAAGTGCCTACTGGACTTCTTTCAACAGTCATTTGCTTAGAGTGTTAAGGTAGAACAGAGTCAGATCCTGAGACCATCATCAGATTTCTAGCCAAGCCCCAATGTGGGAAAAATAACAACTCCACATGGACTTTGCCCTTTTCTCTTTTGTTTCGGTTCTCCCACGATTGCAGGTTTTAGACTTGAGCTGCTTTGGGCTCTTGCAGTTCTCTGGTCTCCTGAGTCTTGCTCTTTTCTAGCATCATAGTCAAGGTTGTTATAACCTGTCACCTGGAGGATGGCAGGGTCCCTCTAAGCTGTCTCCAGTAGTCTTCCTTATGATCCAGTTGTTTCTTTGC